GAAAAATGCCGGTTTAGCCATATTAACCGCCGGTTTTTGACGTTTTTCCTGTAGTGTCTTGAATAACGTGAATCAGTCGCCCCGACTCCCTATAACACAATTAATCTCTAGCTCCTTATGACTCATAATTAGTGAATTATATGGATCAATAAGGTATCATGTGGAGTTATCATATCATTTATCTGCTATTATTTATTACTTCATTTAAAATATAATAAAATTATATCAATTTATCAAAATAATCAAATCTATAACATATCCAAACTTGTATGGTGAAAGCTTATGAAATTAAGAGATATTACAATATTTATAAATTTAGGAGAGATAAAATTCGTAGAAATTAAAATCATCAAAAATAGAAGTAAGAGATTAGTCACTTATAATGAATAGAACAAAATCTGTAATAAAAATAACTGGCAAATATGATCAAAAAAACTTTTTTCTCTCTCTTTCTTCTTCCCCCTCTTTTAATTTCTTCTTGGCCAAGCAACCAAGTTAGGGAGTTAGTGGGGTATATATATATTATATATATTATTCATGCCTTAGTGTCTCAATGCTCACTAGATCAATGTCAAAGTGCTATACTTTAGAATTTTCATGTTTTTCAAATAAAATTATTTTTACACATTTGAGTTATTACAATCTCCTCCCCTTCAAAAAATACAGTCCTTAGCATTTATATATAAATCTTAGAGAGAGAGAGAGAGAGAGAGAGAGAATGCTTAAAACAAAATTTCAAACTCAAATCAACTAATTATAAAATAAAAATAACATTTTTATTCTTCTCATAAGCTCTAGTTATATTTCAATTCTTCCAATAACTATTGCTATGATACCTTATTATAATCTCCTCACCTTCAAAAAATACAGTCCTTAGCATTTTTATACAAATCTTAGAGAGAGAGAGAGAGAATGCTCAAAACAAAATTTCAAACTCAAATCAACTAATTATAAAATGAAAATAACATTTTTATTCTTCTCATAAGCTCTAGTTATATTTCAATTCTTCCAATAACTATTGCTATGATACCATTTTGTCGTACTCTAGGATCTATATTGAAAGAATTACATTTTTCTTTCATTTTAACTATTTATTTAAAGCTAATTAATGAATAGTGAAAAGAAACATGATTTCAATTTTGTCTTGTTTAGAGCCTCATATCATAGGATCCTTAGCTTTTTATAAAATAATATAAAATCATGTAATGAGCATATAACCTAACAAATAACTAAAATCTTATAACTGAAATTAATGCAAGATAAAAGAGAATAATATGTAATAAATCATATATAAAAATTTATGCATCAATTTCTATACCTATTATCTATATTAGTTATCATTCAGTGGTTTATCATATCTCAATTCATTACATCATCAACCACAATATTAATAACAGTCAAAAGTATTAATTCCAGTAACAATATTAAAATCATGATCAATAATGTTTAATAATGTTTAATAATGTTAATGACAATAAAAAGTATTACTATTAGTCATAATATAAGTATAGTATTCATAGTAGTGTCAATATTAGTATATATATATATATATATATTCAATAAATGTATCTTAAAAGTATATTGCTCCCACACTTATGACTCGCAATTAGTCTCTCTTTATAACTCTCAATTAATGTACTCTTTATAACTCCCCTTGAATCATGTGAATAAGTCGCCTCGACTTCTTATAACTCCTAATCAATCTTCAGCTCCTTATATTTCATAATCATTGAATCACATGGATCAATAGGGTATCATTTAGAGTTATTATGTCATATATCTGATATCATTCATAACTTTATTTAAAATATAATAAAATTATATCAAAACATTCAAAATGATAAAATTTATAACATATCAAAACTTGCACGATGAAAGCTTATGAAATCAGATAATGCAATATTTGTGTATTTATGAGAGATAAAATTAGTAGAAATAAAGATCATTAAAAACAAAAGTAAGAGATTACTTATAATGAATATAATAAAATATGTAATAAGAATGACTCTATTCTTCCCCTCTTTTATTTTCAAATTTATATGATGTCTTCATCAACCGCAAAAGCAGGACGAGGCTGATTCTACTCCGAACTAATTTTTCCTGCCCCGTAGAACCCCACTAGGTATCCACTTCTGACTTCAAATACTATATTTAAATTCAGATCAAATTATTTATTTTTTATAAAATTGAGTTTATTTAATCAAGATATTCAATTTGATTATAAATTTATTAAAATCAAAATTTATATGATTTTAAAAACAATTACGAAAATCTCTCATATCAAAAATCATGCGTACCAGAATGAATTTTTTTTAATGATGTATCACTCAAAACTCATTTTGTAAAAATCTTATAAAGTTGCTTTGCTTTAGCAGCATCTGAAATAGCCTATTATTTTAGATAACAACGGCTTCTGTTTAGAACGGGGGATGAAGACGGATAAGCAAGAAATGAAAATAGTACACTAGCAAAAAAAAAAGTGATAGCAATTGTTTAATAGAACATCATATAAAATAAGTATAGTCCTTGGCATTTACAGTTGGAAGTTAGAAACTGGGCTAATAAGAAATAAAATTGAACCAAAAAAAAAACATGGCACAGGGAATCTTCAATAGGGGTGTCAATTCGGGTCGACGGGTCGACTCGGATCTAAATAGGTCAACCCGAATCCGACCCATTTTTTACCCGAACCGACCGGACAGCGGGCGGAGTCACACGCGACAGCCAGCGAAGTCTGCGGGACCGCACGACAATGGGCAGAGTCTGCGGGCCCGCACGAGTGCGAGCGAAATCCACGGGAGTCAGGATCGCACAAGTGCGAGCGGAGTTGCGCGCGGCAACAGGCCGAGTCGCGCACGGCAGCGGGCGGAGTCGCGAGCGCGCGACAACGAGTGGAGTCCCCAGGACCGCAAGTGCAGGGCGGGACCGAAAATTCGGAATGGACTCAACTTTCGGGTCATTGTCGAGTTTCCAAGTCAACCCGAACCTGACCTATTTTGAAACGGGTCAAAAATCCAAACCGACCCATTTGCGAACCGGGTCAACCCGAACCCGAATTTTTTCGAGTCAAATTCGGGTCGGGTTTCGGGTCGTGTCAAAAGTTGAAATTTTTATTGCCTCAGGTTACCTGACGTAGAGATACATCAGATAGCCTATAATATATCGCCACGTGCTCTTACTCTTTACCGCGCGTCCCGACAACCCAACCCGGAACGAATCCGGGATTACTATGTTCGTGTATTGCTCGGTATTTGCTCGGTATTGCTAGGTACTACTCGTTATTTACTCTTTACCGCGCGGCCCGACAACCCAACCCGGAACGAATCCGGGATTACTATGTTCGTGTATTGCTCGGTATTTGCTCGGTATTGCTAGGTACTACTCGTTATTTACTCTTTACCGCGCGGCCCGACAACCCAACCCGGAACGAATCCGGGATTACTATGTTCGTGTATTGCTCGGTATTTGCTCGGTATTGCTAGATACTACTCGTTATTTGCTCGGTACTTGCTCGGTAATGCTCGGTATTTGCTCGGTAATGCTCGGTATTTACTCAGTATTTGCTCGGCATTTGCTTGGTACTTGCTCGGTAATGCTCGGTATTTGCTCGGTACTTGTTCGGTAATGCTCGGTATTCACCTATGAGCCCTTTGTGGTCTTCGGGAGATTATCTCTTTCTTTGGGAACGAGCTTCAATCTCTTTGTCATGTGTGCGATTGGACCTTCTTCCTTGTTCTTTTTTACTGCTGTCTGAGCAATGTTCTTTTTTTTTTTTCGTGGAAACTTGTCGCTCTCCCTCTGGATGGCACATTTCAGTGTGCAACCAGGTAGAGCGCTTCGGCTTCCGTCGGCTTACCTCTGTGACGGCATTCTCTGAGCCCATTTTCCCTTGTCTCGAACCTTTTTTTTTTATGTTTTCACACTGCACTGTATTTTTCGGGCTTCTGGTTGTCATGCATGAAGGTGGCACAAGAAATTATGCGAGAGAACCAGCTCAAAATTAAAGCTTTCGCCTTCGTTTCCAGCTTGGCACAAGAAGCTCTCCTGTGTGCAACCGAACTCAACCAACACACAGGGATCTTTTCTCGTGCAGTTCTCCCTACGTGCTTTCATTCAAGTACCGAGTAGTATTTAAATTTAAGCCCATTTCTTCCTTTTCCGAGCAAGTACCGAGCAAATACCGAGTAGTACCTAGCAATACCGAGCAAATACCGCACATATTCGTTTCGGGTTGGGTCGTCGGGCCGCGTGGTAAAGAGTAAGAGCACGTGGCGATATATTATAGGTTACCTGATGTATCTCTACGTCAGGTAACCTGAGGCAATAAAAATTCCAAAAGTTGACACCCCTAATCATCAAACCCTTCCTCTCTCCTTCACCAATTTGATTAAATATTATTAAGAGTTGAGTTAACACTAAGGCCATACAATAAGGAGCTCAATACTAATTGGTGCCAAGTAGAAAGCAAGTTCAACTCATCTTAATTTAGAATTGGTCTGACCAAGTTAAGGTTGATTGGAACCCTAAGCCAAAATAAGTAAGAAATGTAAACACATGCATGCATATTTTTCTCGTCTCAAGATAGCATAAAAATCAAGAAGGCCTCGTGGCTATTTGTGTTCTTAGACTTCATTTAGGACAACTTTCTAATTATTTTATGGAGTAGCTTTTTAGCACAAAAATTTCAAGTTGCTTCGTAAAATAAGAAAGTTAGTACTTAATGCATCCAATATATGCTTCTAAGATATTATTATACAGCATGCTTAAATGAAGCCTGGTTAACAAGCATATTTGTAAATACTTGGACTGAGTAGTTTCCCTACTAATACATTTAAGAAATACGTGAAAGGTGTCTTAGCCTGGTAGTTTTTGCTAAATAATGAATGAAATAATGGTGGAGCAAGGACAAAGGTAAGTATGGGTTAGATGAATGATCAATTAGTAAGGAAAATTACTTTCTTGCTAGGTCAGTGTTAACTGTGTGAACTATGACAAGCAACTAAAAATAATGAAAATGTCATTCCATGAAGAACTTGTCTAAACAAGTGAATAAAATACAAATGAGACCATAAAGAAGTTTGCAAAATATGTTTGCTTTGGTAATCAAATGAGCAGTTCCTACAGTCATTGAAATTATGGTTGGGAGTAAAATTCATATTTCATAAGAATTGTGGTTTTAATTACATGGAATAATTACTACCTGCAAATTCTGTCAAAACAATGGACTAAGATCTGCAGTCACTGCTTCGGATTCCTCCAAATAACCTGTGTGCAATTCATGTACATGGCCAACAATTACAGTAATATCATCTGGTTTACCACCTGTAGAATCGAAAAGAAATCTGGAGTTAGTGAAATGAAGGTGATAAAGAAGTAAGATTTCAATGGATTTCAATGGACCTGTTAGTTTCTGACCAAGAACCTTCCTCCAGAGCGGCACGTCAAACCCCTGAAAACAATTGTGCCAAACTTTTAAATAACTGTTTTCCTCTTAGCTCCTGGGTTCTACAGGCCTTAGGAATTGTAAAAAACCTAGAAGTTTTAAGCGTTAAATGGGTTATTCAAGCCAGTTTACGATCATTTGTTTAGGCCCTTCAAAATCCATTTTAGACTTAGATTTCATTTGGGACGGCTTTTTTACTGCTTCATAAAGCAGTTTTTTAGTACAAAAGTTTAAATTTTTGTACTAAAAAGCTGCTTCAGGAAGTAGCAAAAAAGTCATCCCAAATAAACCCTTAAACTAAACTACATTTATGATAGCTTTATGGGTACTCATTCAGCCCTATTTAAGCCCGATTATAATATAAAATACTTCTTCAATCGAAATATGCTTAAACATTTACGCTAATTAAAATCAACTATTGCATATTGAAAAAATATAGTCGTCCATAAAAATTTCTGCTCAGCTTTAGTTATTACTCTAGTTATCTTTTGAATTGCTATACTACATGAAATAAAAGCAGGCCTTATGGAAAAATTCATATGTTCAATGCTTGAAACAATGAAATGCTAGAAGAGGAACATACCCTACTTCTGGCTTCTAATGAATATGGTGAGTCGAAGTTCACATCTGTGGAATGTGTGTTTGCGAGATCTGCTAATCTCTTTGCTGGACAGGGAAAAAAAAAATATGAAAGTTCTAATTAGATCAAAAGCATAGTTTGATTAAACAATCAAGGAAACATTGAAAGTACCATCATCTGCAGCATCTTTAAATTGTGAAATTATGGCAACAATTTCATGGTCAAACACATTATCAAAAAATCCATCAGATCCCATGACTATAGTATCCCCTTCTAGTAATTTTACACTGCACACCTGCAAATAGGTTTAAAGACGAATGGTTGTCAAAATAAAAATGTAAACAGGTTCTTTAGATAATGATTGTGCATGTCATCTCAGGACAATTTATGGCTATGCAAAGGTCAAAAAAGTCCTAGAGTTAAATTGTTGAAAATATACTTCATCGGATATATCTTTTCAACTTAGTGTTAAGCTTTTGCATCCATCTTTTGGACAAAATTTTCTTAAAAGCTAAAAATAATTAAAATCCTCTGATTAATGACTCGCAAGGATTCATAAAAGTTAACATAACAAAAAAACTTGTTATTGATTCTTTTTTTTTTCCTCACTAGAAGAGTGATTGAAAAGAGACCTGTTTAAATTGACTATATGAAAATTTTCACGGATGCCATTAGTCCTAGAATCACACAAATACAGTCAAATGCATAAATGAAAAGTTTTTAATTTAGAGAGCTTCCGTTACTTGAATAAAATAAAATAAAATAAAGCAATCTACCATTACTTAACTCAAAACAAAATATCAAGAAATTCACAAAAATAATAATTTAATTTCCTATGGATGAGATGAAGACAGGAGAATCTGATGCGTTGATTGATGGCTCGTGATATAAAGTCAAATCATATATATTAAAAACTAAACTAATATAATAATTTTCTAACTTATAAGTATTTGTCCCAATGCATCATACGATTTTATATAGTCCCAACATTTGGTAGATAATTAATTAAAATTTTATTTAGAAAACTTTTAGGATTTAAATGAATCATTAATTAACCACTTGGTTTGAACTTCATGCCTCCTATTTACATTGGTAGTATAAGTTATTCTCATAATTAAGAGTTGCATTTTTTGTTAATATTTTCATACATGTATTATATATGTGTTATGAAAATAATTGTGTAAATTCAATACGAATTTTATCTAGATCTATATGTTTTCTAGGTTGTAATCCTATAATCTTTAAATTGATTAAGAAATGAATATTATGAAAACTCAATAGGTTATGCAGGACAACTTATGGCCAGAATTTCCTAATGCAATTAATATGATATATCTAGTATTGACACATGCAAAAGAAATTGAGAATTCTTAGTTCATAAGCTACAAAATAATTGAATCACTTGCTTTCTTTAAATATAAACAGAAAATACTTGAATTTAAACCTCAATGACGATGAAATAATCGAAGTAATTCAAGAAAATCAGTGAAAATGTACAACCATATAAAACTATAATTTAATTTCTACAAATTTAAGTTTTGTTGTGCACAATTTTGAACAGAATCAGTAACATTAACAAACCAATATCAAACTAGATAGATGGAATAAGAACAAAGAACGCCCAAAATAAGATAAATTTTGAACTTACGTCAGTACAAAGAGCTGAAATCCATCGAAATTAAGTTTTCCCATTTATATCACACTCAAAGAAATCACATATCCAACTTACACTAATAAGATTAAAAATTGAAAGAGAATTTTCATTCAAGTCAAACTTGTTTATCACATGCCATCAAACATCTATTTATAGATTCTTTATGCCATAGATCAATAAATACGGTTGACACAAAATCAGCCCAATCTAATTTTTATAATCCCAAAATTCAAACATCCATATAAAAATCCTATGAAGCCCTCTTCGTGTGAAAGCCTGAACATGGTTAGGTAACACATGTAAATAGGAAGGCTAACAAATGGCCTAGATAATCACCACCTCAAATCTCATGAAGTCTTCCACATAAGTACTTGTGGAAGTAGTGATCATGCAAACCTCTATAAGAGAAAACTCTTCACATAAAATGATTATATAAACCTCCGTACGAACAACCTTAAAATTCTCCATGCAAATAGTAATATGAAAATAAATATATCACAACATCAGATGAAACAGAAAAAAGAAAACCATGAAAAACTCCTAATAAACCACAAACGTACGTAAACTATCCAAACAAAAGCCTTAGTACCTTTCCTTGAAGGCCAAAAAGTATATGTAATATACTTAAATAAGAAAGTTTTTGAACCAGGAATTAACCATAGGCAAACTAGCTTGAATCTATGCCTAAGTACATACGAACTAAATAAAACAGACCCCTCTCTTGGCCGTTGTCACTGGTATATTTTCAAATATTATATTAAAAAATAATAACATACCAACTGAAAACAAATAAACAATGCACAGATATATAGCTTGAACTTCAATGAAAGTAAACACATATGTCAATCAAAATTTCCCAGCGTTGACAAATTTGGCTTATGATAAATTTAGCATTTGATATTCATTAAAAAAAACAAGATATAATTTTATGCTTCATATAAAGTAATCTTTGAATCAACACAAGCAGGTCTTGCCAATTATCATGATATCTTTAGAAACACCAACAATAGTAGGCAATCTCATCATCTAGAATAACCTCATGATTAAGCTTCATAGAAGTATTTAGTAGGGGATTGGAAGTGGACTCACAAAAGTGAAAAGAGAAGAATTCAAAAAATTCATAATAGGCTCATGAATTAAGGTAAAAAAAACATAATAAAATGGAATTTATCCTAGAATTTTCAGAAATTTTCAATTTGCAAGTATTCTTTCAATATAACAACAACAACATCAAGCCTTTGTCCCACTACGTAGGGTTGGCTACATAAATCCTTTTTCTACATTGTGCCTTGTTAAAAATCAAATTCCTAATTAAATTTAATAACAAATGTCATTTCTAATATTTTCTAGCCATGTCCTTTTAGTTCTACCTACCTTTCTTAAAATAGGTCAAATCCAATGCATCTACTCTCCTAACCAGGTGATTGGAAGGCCGACATTTTATGTGCCCAAACCATCTAAGTCGACTCCCTCTAATCTTATTTGCCACTGGAGCTACTGCAACCTTTTCACGTATATACTCGTTTCGTATTTTGCCTCTAAGAGTGAAGCCACTCATCCACCCGAGCATCATCCTCATCTTTGCAACACAACTTAATTTTATGCTTATCTTTTCCAAAATTGTGTCATAAGGTATTATAGGTCTCACTGGCATCTTATAAAAATATTCCTTAAATTTGAGGGATATTTTTTTTATTACACAACAAGCCCGATGTCATTCCTCTACTTCAACCATCTACCTTGAATTCTACAAATAATATATCCATCTATTTCACCATCACTTTGAGCAATACAAACAAGTGTCATAAGGAATCTCACCTTGAGCTTAGTCATTTTGCATCAATAAAAGGAGAAGGCCTTCAGTTCCTCTTGCTCATTTTCTTCCACTGCCTTAGCCGACCTCTACAGCAAGATTGACCCTTGCCTTCTTCCTCTCACACTAAGCTTCAGCATCCATCCGACTCCTTGCCAACCTTGCCTTCTTCCTCTCACGCCACGGCTCACCGGAAAATCACTCATGCACGATTTTCTCTAGCGTGGTGGGAAGGGAACCCGGTGCAACGCCTACGGCGAGGCGGGTAAAATCTCATACACGCTTTTCTCTAGTGTGGCGGGGACCAAGGTTTAAAATTGCGTAATTGCGCCTCGAGGCGGTTTTTGTCCGTGAGGCGAGGCGTAAGCCTCGAGGCGGTCTGAGGCGTAAGCCTCACGGACACAGAATTGCGTAAATGAAAAATTAAGGGTTTTAGCAGGAAAATAATAGCAATAGTGGAAAATAAGAATGTAGATGCAATAAAATCATGTCCCAAAGTATAAAATCACAAAATATTAGTTTAACAAAACTCCCAAAACACAAAAAACATATAAAATGAAATCATATCCCATCACTAAATGGGTCTTCAAGTGAATCTTCTTCTCCAATTGTA